TTTTGCTTACTTTTGGATTTTCCCTTTAAAAGGCAATGGTTATTATATTCCTTATCCTGCGAGCCAGGGACTTAACGTGCAGATCAGTCCTCAAACGTCCAAGGACTCATCAGGAAAGAAAACGTCGGCCCGGTATGCTACTGCTTGGCTTGATCATGGGGTCGACCCAAACGGAAAGGGATATGAATACACGATTGCTGTTGCGGGAAAAAACGGTAAAAATAGCTTAAAGGTAAGCAAGTATCATTTTCAGTTGGGAATATATGCCAGCTAATGGTATGAGTGACCTGTCCAAACGCGCTTGCTTATGTTGCTAATACACACGTTCGTGTCGTCTTTACAAACTGAAATTTATTCAAGTGTTCAAGCAGTAATTAACTAAAATCTCGGTAACAACTGAATTCTGTTGTGAAATTAATAAATTCTATTCATTTTAAGCAATTAGCGTCCAACCAAAGGTCAGGTTCCAGCCTAAAGTACAAAGTGCTTCAGAAAGACGACAACGCCCACATTGTCCAGATGAACATTCAACCAGTCAAGCGATATGGATACGTCATCTTTGCAAATTCCGTCGGCAAGTTTCCCGGTCCTATTCAGCGCATTTGGGGGGTAATGGCAGTTATCTTAAATCACTTTATTAGCAACTCAAGGAGATGAATGAGAACGTTTTTTAAAAAGTTGACTATCTTATCTCAAGTCTTAAAAACAAATTAAATAATTAACAATCTTACACTTACACTGAGGTGAATAATTACTTTAGTGTCAACCACACAATACCAATGATATTAGATTATTTGTTATTATTTTATTATTCAGTATTTATTTTATTTAATCACTTCCACCATGAAGGTGTCGCGGAGTTCCGCGAGTTTGAACTGTAGGAACTGGAAACTAGCGAGAGGCCTGGCTGTAAGCTCGGAAGCCTGGCTTCTTGAGAACTTGGACTAAAAAAACGTATTGGGAAAAAACGTTTGAACAGAGGACAATTTGCCATATTAACCATGTAAGTGAAAAACTCCAACTAACTTCTACTTTCAACACACAACTGCGAAAACTTCAAAACTAGTTTCGTCTACGACCTCGTCAGTTGATAACAAAAATCTAAAAATTTGAAAAAAAAATTTTTAGATTGCTTGTTATCAACTGACGAGGTCGTAGACGAAACTAGTTTTGAAGTTTTCGCAGTAGTGTGTTGAAAGTAGAAGTTAGTTGGAGTTTTTCACTTACATGGTTGATATGGCGTTAAGTAATACGTTCTTGGCTTCGATAAGTACAATTTCACAACGAAGAGAAAAATTTATTTTTAACTTTGTTGTGGAATGTAAATTTAGAGTTTAAACGTAAAGGTGACTGCATCCTCGGTGACAGAAGGTGCGGCACACAAAACAGAGCGAGGCTCCAAATTAGGTGCACCCTTAAGGAAGGTACTGTGAGAGTAGTGTCTTGCCCAAGAACACAACGTATTGTCCCGTCTAGGTCTCCAACCCGGGCCTCAAGACGCAGGGTCCATTGCACTGACCATTAAGCCAGTGAAAAATGGCTAGAAATTAGTCTCCTGTGGCGCGTTTTTATCTCCTTGGCCGCTCGGAGGTGAATATTACAACCTAATCACTTCCGAGCTAGACCATTAGCTCACGAAAACCACTATTTACCTGGGTAATAAAGTTCTGGTGACGATTTGATTTTTTATACAGGCACATCTCATCATCATGGCGGAAACCCGGATAGGAAGCGGGGATTTACACATTGCCGTCTCATCTCCAGATCTGAACTTCAACATGTCTTCTTCCAGGACGAATAGGCCTCTAAACAAAAGCAGTGACCTCACTGGTGACGAAATATTCTTCCTCAACAGTGTACCAGTAAATGTTCAGGTAACAAGTATTCAAAAGACAACACGTCGGTTTGTAAGTCCTTGACCCTTAATGAGCAGTCTCGATTGTTCACACTTCCTCGCAAAGAATAACCACCTTACTTGACGCGTAGCATTGGTGAATTTTTTTTATTTTAATGAGAGAATGGGGACTATTTTATGACGTTCTCAGTTAGAGGACAATTCAGTGTGTATTCCCGTTTATGTATTCTGGACGATACATACAGTTTTAATTGCAGTCGAGAGAGTAGGTAGCTGTATCTGTTGTTGACAGTCCAGATAGCTGTATCTGTTGTAGAAAGGGTAGATAGTTGTATCTACCGCAGACAGTTAGATACTTTCTAAAATCTACTATCATGATAGACAGGGAAGATAGCTGTATTTATTGTATACACAATGTAGATATAGGTAGTCATTGTATAAGAAGCATAATATGTAAACTGGGTAGATCGTTGTATCTACCGAGAACATTCTGAGCGTAGTGTGCATACGCTATTCGAATGCAGTCTCTGGCAAAGCAGCTATTTGCTGTTCTCGGACGAGGTGCATACCTGCTTCTGTACGCCTTGTTTAGAATTTATACTTATGTGGGATTCGGAGAAGTGATGTGTCGAAAAAAATCGATTAATTTA